GTGCAAATGTTTAGATATCCATTTTCCAACCACTATTTCATGGGTTCTAGAAACAGAGTTTGGGTCTTTATGTGATTTTTACTGTGTGTTCACAATTAGTAAGGGCGTGTATAAGCAGTTCTGGTCAAAGCAGGCATGCTGGTCCCAAAGACAGTAACTGCTTAAACAAGGTTCATCAAGCTTAACAAGACAAAAGAGCACGGGAAGCACTAAACTGTTCTGAAGTGATCTGTGATGGAAAGAAAGGGGAAGCGTATTTTCTAGGCCATGGAGTTGCAGTACTTAATACATTCTTTCTCTTCAGTCAAGACCTAATAATGCTGTTCCTAATGTATCAGTGACATTTTGGTACCCCACTGAAGCCAGCAACTAGCTCTTATTGAAATCAACAAAACCACCTGCATCTTTATGAGAAAAAGTCTAACAGGGACAATATTACAACAGTGGTTAAACACTGGTATCTGAATTCTGGAGATAAGAGTGTTCAAACAACTTCTGCAATTATTGAGGAACTATGCATTTGGTATTTGACATGTATCTGCCATTTGTACGTCGCAAAACTCTTTGGAAAACCTGTAAGACTTTCCAAGGACCCGTATGAATTCCCTGTAAGCAGCAGTTTGTCAGCTACGTTTCTGAGCTGATGCTTGCTCAACATAGTCAGGGACTAATAAAAATGCTGTTGGCATGAGTAAAGGTTTAAATGCACCTGCAAGTGTATGGGGACCAGTCTACACTTAGTGGTGTGAAAACAGTAGTGATGAGTTACCCTGATGCATACCAGGTAATTCTACAGTGCTTGTACGCTTGGGTTAGATTATTAACTTTTAAATTAAACTGATATTGAAAGCATTCTTCTCTGCCAAGTCTGAATGCACACACATAAATGCAGGAAATGTTCTGAGTCACACAGGCACTTCCTGAAAGGAATCCCCACTGACTCAGTCGTCTGTAATGCTTACCTTGCTGCTTTTGTCAAGTTTCCAGGTTTACCAAGATGATCACCTTCATGGAATTCAGGTTTCTGCAGTAGAAGGCTGAACCTATTTCTCTTCTGCTTAGCTCTACAACAGAATTAGGGTAGCTTTTCAAGGAACCTTGAAAGTTTGTTGGTTTTTTTTCTTAAACATTTCCTTTAACTAATGTCTCTGCTTTGGTATCATAGATCCCCCTATGTTCAGTTATAGTAATATTGATATTAACTCTACATTTATTATTCTCATTAATGATTGTTTTTCTTTACAGCTTAGCACAAATTTACATATGAAGAACTGGCAAGGAGAAATAGAATTTTTTTCATTTTCAGTAATATTTAGTTTAAAGATGAGGGAGTGAAATTTCACATTAGAGAACATAAACAGTTGGCTCAGCATTTTCTACTTTTAATATTTCGCAAAGAAAAAGGAAGTATTGCTTCCTGTCATTTGAAATGTTAAAAAGAAACTTTCCCGGAACATATTCAGACTTTAAAGAAGCATTTATCAGAACTTCTTGAAACCTTCCTTTTGTTTATGATTTGCTTTGGTTACTGTTCTTTAAAAATAATTCCAGGATAATTAATATTTTTATGTATACAATTCCTAGACTTGCAGTTCATGAGTTTTCACATGTATCAGTCAAAAATGAAACAATCTGTGCCCTAAATTCATACCCACAAGCTATGTTAGAAGATTCCTCTATGTAAACAAGAACACTCAGAATGTCACCATGACCTTAAAACTTACCCAGGCTTGCTTGCTTTATGTGGCTCTTCTTTAATCGCTGACTTCATGACTTTGTAATAGGATTTATCCTTTGAAGCAGAAATGTTTAGTTGAGGGAATAAAAGAAGTGGGTTCTCCATCTTCCTCTAAAAAAGCTTCCCAGTTTCAGAAAATGTTTCTTTTACTTCCTTAGAGCAGCTGCATCTGGTAACTGATGTGCTCGGGAGGGCTCTCACATGCTGTATCGGGTTGGGTTGCCCCCCATGGGCCGTTGAGCAGTTTCCAGAGCTGGTAGTGGGAAGAAGGAGGTTCTCCACCTTCACTGCCACTGCAGCTGCACGTATACTTGGGGCTTTAAGTAGAGTTCTGGTTTTACAGTCGTCATTTAGGGAAGTGAGATTGCAACTTTGCAAAATGGCTGTTGATCCTCCAGACAAACACAGCTCTCAGCAGAGAGCAACCGCTGAGCTTCTGCTTGTGGAACTTGGCATTTTACTAGACTTAGGATGATGCCATTTTTTTTCCCCAAAACACCTGCGAGAAGTGTATATAGTTTCCCTAAAATGAATTCTACTGAGAATCATTTTGCATAAAATAACATGCAACATTGTCTTAGGCTCTTAAAAGAACTTTTAACTGACCTTAAATTGCCTTCTACAGCGTCAGGTGCCATATGCTGGGCACAACATCAGTTCTATCTGCAGTATGCTAACTTGAAACTTGGGGTTTCTCAGAGTCTCTTGCCAGAGCCAGATGAAACTGTGGCTGATCAGATATTTTTTTAAGTGGAGATTTTAATTTTTGCACTGTATTTCAGAAATAATGACCACCTATTTCTAATTTCAAGTTTGTCTGCTAAAGCTCCTCCTTTCTCTTTTGTAACTGTGGCTGTATTTTCATTTACAATCTCCCAGAATAACAAGTTTTTAGTTCAGCATAAAAATTTGTGGGTTTTTTAAAATTTATTTTGACGGTAAATAAGCCAAAATTTCTCATTTCAGTTTGCATAATGTAAAAATGTATTCAGTTTTTAGGCTGATCAGCACAAATTGCCTCTTCACATACCAGCTTGATATCAATTAAGACATCAATAAGAAACAAGTTTCTTGTTTTCAAGTAGAATTTGTGTTGGAACACAATACAATCTACCAAAACAATACACCTACCAAAGGAACTTCTTTAGTGGTAGCTGAATGAGGGGCTGGAAAAGATATCTTAATCTTAATACAGTGATTAATTGATTAAGAATTAAATAGCCTTCCCTTTTTTAATGCCAATGTCTCATTTTAATTATTCAGGTAAGACACCGAGCCTTGGGGGGAAGACATGGCTTCATCACCTTTCTGTAATTTTCTGTGCAATAAGTTCTGCACAATTACTGCAAGATAGGTAAGTTCTGGTGAGAGTCCCACCACAGCCTTTTCCTTGTGGCTTGCAGAGCTGAGGAGGACAGGACGTACTAATATTCAAAAGAACTAAAAATAACCCACTGTGCTGGGACTCCGCATTCCTGCAACATAAAAAAAACGTGTTATCTATTGTGATTTTTTTTTAAGAGAGGAAAAGATGGAAGAAAACTCATGTGTATTACATGTGTCACACATGTGACACAAACTTTAAAATCAGACTGAATGGGAAAAATTCAGTGCAAAAATGCCTTTTATGACCCAAGGACCTTTAAGAAGCAGGGTTATGGTTTTAAATTGCATTTTCAGTTTCAGAGTAGGCTTCTATATTACATCCTGCTTATTTTAAACTGGTTTTAACCCCAGCTGTATTTAGTAACATACTCTACCTTTTACCAATAAGTAAATAAATATGAAATGCATAATCTTATTTCCTTTTTCTGAAATGGTGGTAGTCAGGTGAGCATTTTTTTCACCTGTTATGTGTATACAATACTGTTTGTGTTCATCTACCATATTTTTATTACCTGGTGATTTCAGTTCCGGAAAAATGTTGTTAATTGTAGCCTCAATAGTTCATTCAAGCTGACTGAAAAAAGATCTGTAGCATGAAACATCTCTCAGAAGTGAATTATGGTAGCCTTGACACTATACCATGTAACTTACAGATGGAAATAGCCAGTTAGTTTCACCTCTGTGCCCAGCAAGATCATGGAGCAGATGCTCCTGGAAACTATTCTAAGGCATATGGAAAATAAGGAGGTGACTGGTGACAGCCAACATGGCTTCACTAAAGGCAAATTATGCCTGACAAATTTGGTGGCCTTCTACAACAATGTTAGTGTTCGTGGATAAGGGAAGAGCAACTAAAATCATCTACCTGGACTTGTGTGAAGCATTTGACACTGTCACGCAAAACAGCCTTGCTCCTAAATAGGAGAGATGCGGATTTGACAGATGGACCAGTTGGTGGATAAGGAGTTGGCTGGATGGTTGCACTCAAAGAGTTGCGGTCAATGGCTCCGTGTCCAAACGGAAGCCAGTGATGAGTGGTGCTTCTCAGGGGTCAGTACTGGGACCAGTGCTGTTTAACATCTTTGTCAGCGACATGGACGGTGGGACTGAGTGCACCCTCAGCAAGTTTCCTGACAACACCAAGCTGTGTGGTCTGATTGACGTACTGGAGGGAAGGGATGCCATCCACAGGGACCTGGACAGGCTTGAGAGGTGGGCCTGTGCGAACTTTATGAAGTTCAACAAGGCCAAGTGCAAGGTCCTGCATGTGGGCTAGGGCAATACCAAGAACGAATACAGGCTGAGTGGACAATGGATTGAGAGCAGCAATGGATTGAGATTGGGGGTGCTGGTGGATGAGAAGCTCAACATGAGCTGACAATGTGCACTTGCAGCCCAAAAAGCCAACTGCATCCTGGGCTGCATGAAAAGAAGTGTGGTCAGCAGGTCAAGGGAGTTGATTCTTCCCCTCTACCCCACTTGGGTGAGAACCCACCAGGAGTACTGTGTCCAGCTTTGGGACCCTCAGCACAGGAAGGACATGGACCGGTTGGAGTAAGTCCAGAGGAGGACCACAAAAATGATCAGAGGGTTGAAGCACCTGTGCTATGAAGACAGGCTAAGAGAGTTGAGGTTGTTCAGCCTGGAGAAGAGAAGGGTCTGAGGAGACCTTATAGTCTTCCAGTACCTAAAAGGGGCCTACGGGAGAGATGGGGAGGGACTCTTTTGAGGTAGTGTAGTGATAGGACAAGGGGTAACAGTTTTAAACTGAAAGAGGGAAGACTTAGATTGGATATTAGGAAGAAATTCTTTCCTGTGAGGGTGGTGAGGCACTGGAACAGGTTGCCTGGAGAAGCTCGTGTGTCCCTCCAAAATGGAAGGCAGGACATTTGGGCATTTGATACTTAGGTAAGCAACAGGCCCTCTCAAATGATGGCCAGCTTTGATCCTATCACTGCTTTAGAAACAAACTATCAGAAGTGACAAAGTCTTTTCTTATGTACATAGAACATGGTTTCATTTTTAAGGTTTGGTCTTGCAGTCAGGAATATTTGAGCAATATTTAAATGAAATTCTGCTGTTTTTTGAAGGAACTCTTTCCTGTCTATTACTTTTTTTTAATAAAATATGGAACTTAAGAGTTATTTTCAAGTAGTTTCAGTAGTTGACAGCATGCTATAGCCTAAGCATGTGAGGAGAGCAGAAACACATGCTGCTATAAATGACCCATCATACCTTGTTTAGCTAACTGCCAGGTCTGTTCAAGTGCACAACTGCATTTTTAAATTGTCCATCATTTTTCATCAATTTTCCATCCTAACAGTCTGCACAGAGAGGCAAAAAATACTAACCTTTCTCAGAAAGCAGTTTGTCAAAAGATTCTCCCCATTTCATTGCTTCTTCAGGAGACACACTGCTTAAGAAACAGAAAGGGGTTTTGAAGAATTGTGCATATTGTGTATTTATGAAGTTGTTGTAACATATACAACATTACATGTTGTAGCAGCTGTTGTAACATAATGTTGTTACTGTTAGTGCTGTTACTGCTCAGGACTGTTTCACAAAGCCTTTGATTAAATCACATTACTAAAGGAGCTCATTCTCTTAGGCACTTCAGAAACATTTGATTTAATTTTTTTCTGACATTTTTCCTGCAGAGTTGTAGTTTTTTCCCCTGCTTAAAAGAAACCCATCAGATCAGAGATTTTTCTCTTCAGTGTTCGTGTTGCACTACTAATCTTTAAGGGAACTGAGATCATGCAGTATGGTAAAACTCATAAGGGAACCAGGTCATTCACCTATTTAAACCTTAAAAATACTCTTGCAGAGATGTGGTTTTGAATGCACTCAGTTTGAAGCTGTGTTACCACAGTCTGTTTTTAATGAAATACAGGAAATTCTATAGCCTGAAGACAAAGTTGTAGCAATATGGTTTAGGTGATAGTCTTATAGGGTAATAGCACATGTACCCCAGTTTGTTTACCACAAACGTATTTCAAAGGTCATGTTCTTCTGAAACACATCGCTCCATTTATAAAATTCCATGTATTCTTCATCATAAATGTCAAGTTGCACGTATTGTACTTTGATTTCAAATATTCTGTTCTAAAGAATAATTCAGAAAGGAAGAAAGAACACCCTACTTCAGTCACGCAAATAGAATTTTGGAGAAACTCTTTTTTGGTTTTGTATAGATTAACCCTGAACAGTACTTTAATTTTTAGTAGACTAGAACTGGAGTAGGCCCAGAGATTAACTATATCATGCTAGGAATGGGACTTAAATTTCAAACCTGAAGGTGAAGTCAATTTTTATCAGGTGCTTTATCAATATTAATGTTTAGAACCATTTTCATTCAAGGGCAAAGCCCAGTACACAGAAAGTATCAATAAGCAACTTGTCCAGGGTTCGTTGGTTAGAACAACTACTTGAATATGATTCCCCTTTCCTCACAGACACTTGCTGTTCTGTCTCCTGATTCACATAGTTTCAGTTCCCTTGGCATATGTTTAGGTGAAAGGAAATTCCAATTGCTTTGGGAAGGAATTTAAGCCAGTAATGATCCTGGGTTTGCACAAAACTAAAAGGAAGATTTAATATTTTTTTTTAATAGGTGTCATATGTCTCCTAGCTGAAGTCATTGCTTATAGGAATGAAATTTTTCACTAGGGAGAGACAAACAGTTCTCTCAGCTAAAAATGTTGGAGAACTGAAATTCAAGAAATTAACATAGGCCAGTAAAGTAGGTGAGTTCTTGAGTCAGGGAAAATGAGACTTTAATCCTATACAGAGTTTTTTAGTTATGAGAAGTACAAAAAGTGCAGTTCTCTGAACTGTGTGGACTTGTGAGTCTGGGAACAGTGGGTTCCCATAGCTACAGAAACTGATTTGCTCATAGTGAAAGATAAACCCTGATGGCTTCAGGCAGCATATGCAGACCACAACTGCACAGAATGCCACACAGGCTCTTTGCTGGGTTTGGAAACCCCTAGTGTGAATTTCTAATTTTCTTTTAAAAACTGCATCAACCCAGTAGCCTCATAGATCCCCAAGACCTGGCTGCAGCAATGAGTAGCTGCAATAATAGACAGAAACCAAGATTTGTTCAGCTTTGCCACTTTCTAAAGGTGAGAAGAAACTAGTTAACAAGTCATAGGCATTTTCACTAGCACCACACTAGCCATCTGCATTGCTTAATTAAATTCTGTTTCTACGTTAGTTAATAGCCCTGTGAAGACTGGAAACTATAAAAACTAAGTAAATCACTTAAATAATAAACCCCAAACTACTACCTCACTTTATTATTTGAAAAAGTGTATTTGCTTTTTTCTTTTATTTCCCCATTTTCTACACATAATAATAATCTACATATCTATATATAGGGAAAGATAATCAAAAAACTACCAATTTCTCTTTATACAATAAGAACAGCAGAATCCCTGTTAGTCAAGCACCTGGCTTAGAGTAACGTGATAAAAGGCAGTTGGCTGAGCAAGGAAGTGATGGTCTGGTGGAAGAGGGAAATTCTTCAGAGAATTATCTGTTACTATTGTATCTGTCTCTGAAAGTGCCTTTTCACAGATGATAAGAATGCACTGATGGCTGTGTACTTTGTATGGCATACCCAGGGGTAACCAGCCACCCAACAGTGTCTGCATACAGGTGGCAGGGAGGCTGAGCTTTCTCTTTTTAGATGCAATCTTAGCATGCTTTTACATGGCTGGAACTGAGACATGGAAAAAGGGTTCTCTCAGCACTGTTTTACCTTTTTTCAATCATTGCAAGGTCTTGCATTTCTGAGTGAACTGTAAAACCATTGAATTAAGACTACAGCCAGCAGCAAGCAAGAAAGAAAAAGAAAGTAATGAAGCCACCTGTGATTGTGGAGGTTCTCTCAGCACTGTTTTACCTTTTTTCAAACATTGCAAGGTCGTGAACTGTAAAACCATTGAACTAAGATTACAGCCAGCAGCAAACAAGAAAGAAAGAGAAAAAGAAAGTAATGAAACCACCTGTGATTGTGGAATGGAAAATCTTCCAGATCATAAGTACATCATCCTGTCATTTGGATGGGCATGAATTTGGACGTGTAAGCAACAAACATTGCCTAATTATCCAGATGCGTAGGTGCAAATGTTTAGATATCCATTTTCCAACCACTATTTCATGGGTTCTAGAAACAGAGTTTGGGTCTTTATGTGATTTTTACTGTGTGTTCACAATTAGTAAGGGCGTGTATAAGCAGTTCTGGTCAAAGCAGGCATGCTGGTCCCAAAGACAGTAACTGCTTAAACAAGGTTCATCAAGCTTAACAAGACAAAAGAGCACGGGAAGCACTAAACTGTTCTGAAGTGATCTGTGATGGAAAGAAAGGGGAAGCGTATTTTCTAGGCCATGGAGTTGCAGTACTTAATACATTCTTTCTCTTCAGTCAAGACCTAATAATGCTGTTCCTAATGTATCAGTGACATTTTGGTACCCCACTGAAGCCAGCAACTAGCTCTTACTGAAATCAACAAAACCACCTGCATCTTTATGAGAAAAAGTCTAACAGGGACAATATTACAACAGTGGTTAAACACTGGTATCTGAATTCTGGAGATAAGAGTGTTCAAACAACTTCTGCAATTATTGAGGAACTATGCATTTGGTATTTGACATGTATCTGCCATTTGTACGTTACAAAACTCTTTGGAAAACCTGTAAGACTTTCCAAGGACCCGTATGAATTCCCTGTAAGCAGCAGTTTGTCAGCTACGTTTCTGAGCTGATGCTTGCTCAACATAGTCAGGGACTAATAAAAATGCTGTTGGCATGAGTAAAGGTTTAAATGCACCTGCAAGTGTATGGGGACCAGTCTACACTTAGTGGTGTGAAAACAGTAGTGATGAGTTACCCTGATGCATACCAGGTAATTCTACAGTGCTTGTACGCTTGGGTTAGATTATTAACTTTTAAATTAAACTGATATTGAAAGCATTCTTCTCTGCCAAGTCTGAATGCACACACATAAATGCAGGAAATGTTCTGAGTCACACAGGCACTTCCTGAAAGGAATCCCCACTGACTCAGTCGTCTGTAATGCTTACCTTGCTGCTTTTGTCAAGTTTCCAGGTTTACCAAGATGATCACCTTCATGGAATTCAGGTTTCTGCAGTAGAAGGCTGAACCTATTTCTCTTCTGCTTAGCTCTACAACAGAATTAGGGTAGCTTTTCAAGGAACCTTGAAAGTTTGTTGGTTTTTTTCTTAAACATTTCCTTTAACTAATGTCTCTGCTTCGGTATCATAGATCCCCCTATGTTCAGGTATAGTAATATTGATGTTAACTCTACATCTATTATTCTCATTAATGATTGTTTTTCTTTACAGCTTAGCACAAATTTACATATGAAGAACTGGCAAGGAGAAATAGAATTTTTTTCATTTTCAGTAATATTTAGTTTAAAGATGAGGGAGTGAAATTTCACATTAGAGAACATAAACAGTTGGCTCAGCATTTTCTACTTTTAATATTTCGCAAAGAAAAAGGAAGTATTGCTTCCTGTCATTTGAAATGTTAAAAAGAAACTTTCCCGGAACATATTCAGACTTTAAAGAAGCATTTATCAGAACTTCTTGAAACCTTCCTTTTGTTTATGATTTGCTTTGGTTACTGTTCTTTAAAAATAATTCCAGGATAATTAATATTTTTATGTATACAATTCCTAGACTTGCAGTTCATGAGTTTTCACATGTATCAGTCAAAAATGAAACAATCTGTGCCCTAAATTCATACCCACAAGCTATGTTAGAAGATTCCTCTATGTAAACAAGAACACTCAGAATGTCACCATGACCTTAAAACTTACCCAGGCTTGCTTGCTTTATGTGGCTCTTCTTTAATCGCTGACTTCATGACTTTGTAATAGGATTTATCCTTTGAAGCAGAAATGTTTAGTTGAGGGAATAAAAGAAGTGGGTTCTCCATCTTCCTCTAAAAAAGCTTCCCAGTTTCAGAAAATGTTTCTTTTACTTCCTTAGAGCAGCTGCATCTGGTAACTGATGTGCTCGGGAGGGCTCTCACATGCTGTATCGGGTTGGGTTGCCCCCCATGGGCCGTTGAGCAGTTTCCAGAGCTGGTAGTGGGAAGAAGGAGGTTCTCCACCTTCACTGCCACTGCAGCTGCACGTATACTTGGGGCTTTAAGTAGAGTTCTGGTTTTACAGTCGTCATTTAGGGAAGTGAGATTGCAACTTTGCAAAATGGCTGTTGATCCTCCAGACAAACACAGCTCTCAGCAGAGAGCAACCGCTGAGCTTCTGCTTGTGGAACTTGGCATTTTACTAGACTTAGGATGATGCCATTTTTTTTCCCCAAAACACCTGCGAGAAGTGTATATAGTTTCCCTAAAATGAATTCTACTGAGAATCATTTTGCATAAAATAACATGCAACATTGTCTTAGGCTCTTAAAAGAACTTTTAACTGACCTTAAATTGCCTTCTACAGCGTCAGGTGCCATATGCTGGGCACAACATCAGTTCTATCTGCAGTATGCTAACTTGAAACTTGGGGTTTCTCAGAGTCTCTTGCCAGAGCCAGATGAAACTGTGGCTGATCAGATATTTTTTTAAGTGGAAATTTTAATTTTTGCACTGTATTTCCGAAATAATGACCACCTATTTCTAATTTCAAGTTTGTCCGCTAAAGCTCCTCCTTTCTCTTTTGTAACTGTGGCTGTATTTTCATTTACAATCTCCCAGAATAACAAGTTTTTAGTTCAGCATAAAAATTTGTGGGTTTTTTAAAATTTATTTTGACGGTAAATAACCCAAAATTTCTCATTTCAGTTTGCATAATGTAAAAATGTATTCAGTTTTTAGGCTGATCAGCACAAATTGCCTCTTCACATACCAGCTTGATATCAATTAAGACATCAATAAGAAACAAGTTTCTTGTTTTTAAGTAGAAATTGTGTTGGAACACAATACAATCTACCAAAACAATACACCTACCAAAGAAACTTCTTTAGTGGTAGCTGAATGAGGGGCTGGAAAAGATATTTTAATCTTAATACAGTGATTAATTGATTAAGAATTAAATAGCCTTCCCTTTTTTAATGCCAATGTCTCATTTTAATTATTCAGGTAAGACACCGAGCCTTGGGGGGAAGACATGGCTTCATCACCTTTCTGTAATTTTCTGTGCAATAAGTTCTGCACAATTACTGCAAGATAGGTAAGTTCTGGTGAGAGTCCCACCACAGCCTTTTCCTTGTGGCTTGCAGAGCTGAGGAGGACAGGACGTACTAATATTCAAAAGAACTAAAAATAACCCACTGTGCTGGGACTCCGCATTCCTGCAACATAAAAAAAACGTGTTATCTATTGTGATTTTTTTTTAAGAGAGGAAAAGATGGAAGAAAACTCATGTGTATTACATGTGTCACACATGTGACACAAACTTTAAAATCAGACTGAATGGGAAAAATTCAGTGCAAAAATGCCTTTTATGACCCAAGGACCTTTAAGAAGCAGGGTTATGGTTTTAAATTGCATTTTCAGTTTCAGAGTAGGCTTCTATATTACATCCTGCTTATTTTAAACTGGTTTTAACCCCAGCTGTATTTAGTAACATACTCTACCTTTTACCAATAAGTAAATAAATATGAAATGCATAATCTTATTTCCTTTTTCTGAAATGGTGGTAGTCAGGTGAGCATTTTTTTCACCTGTTATGTGTATACAATACTGTTTGTGTTCATCTACCATATTTTTATTACCTGGTGATTTCAGTTCCGGAAAAATGTTGTTAATTGTAGCCTCAATAGTTCATTCAAGCTGACTGAAAAAAGATCTGTAGCATGAAACATCTCTCAGAAGTGAATTATGGTAGCCTTGACACTATACCATGTAACTTACAGATGGAAATAGCCAGTTAGTTTCACCTCTGTGCCCAGCAAGATCATGGAGCAGATGCTCTTGGAAACTATTCTAAGGCATATGGAAAATAAGGAGGTGACTGGTGACAGCCAACATGGCTTCACTAAAGGCAAATTATGCCTGACAAATTTGGTGGCCTTCTACAACAATGTTAGTGTTCGTGGATAAGGGAAGAGCAACTAAAATCATCTACCTGGACTTGTGTGAAGCATTTGACACTGTCACGCAAAACAGCCTTGCTCCTAAATAGGAGAGATGCGGATTTGACAGATGGACCAGTTGGTGGATAAGGAGTTGGCTGGATGGTTGCACTCAAAGAGTTGCGGTCAATGGCTCCGTGTCCAAACGGAAGCCAGTGATGAGTGGTGCTTCTCAGGGGTCAGTACTGGGACCAGTGCTGTTTAACATCTTTGTCAGCGACATGGACGGTGGGACTGAGTGCACCCTCAGCAAGTTTCCTGACAACACCAAGCTGTGTGGTCTGATTGACGTACTGGAGGGAAGGGATGCCATCCACAGGGACCTGGACAGGCTTGAGAGGTGGGCCTGTGCGAACTTTATGAAGTTCAACAAGGCCAAGTGCAAGGTCCTGCATGTGGGCTAGGGCAATACCAAGAACGAATACAGGCTGAGTGGACAATGGATTGAGAGCAGCAATGGATTGAGATTGGGGGTGCTGGTGGATGAGAAGCTCAACATGAGCTGACAATGTGCACTTGCAGCCCAAAAAGCCAACTGCATCCTGGGCTGCATGAAAAGAAGTGTGGTCAGCAGGTCAAGGGAGTTGATTCTTCCCCTCTACCCCACTTGGGTGAGAACCCACCAGGAGTACTGTGTCCAGCTTTGGGACCCTCAGCACAGGAAGGACATGGACCGGTTGGAGTAAGTCCAGAGGAGGACCACAAAAATGATCAGAGGGTTGAAGCACCTGTGCTATGAAGACAGGCTAAGAGAGTTGAGGTTGTTCAGCCTGGAGAAGAGAAGGGTCTGAGGAGACCTTATAGTCTTCCAGTACCTAAAAGGGGCCTACGGGAGAGATGGGGAGGGACTCTTTTGAGGTAGTGTAGTGATAGGACAAGGGGTAACAGTTTTAAACTGAAAGAGGGAAGACTTAGATTGGATATTAGGAAGAAATTCTTTCCTGTGAGGGTGGTGAGGCACTGGAACAGGTTGCCTGGAGAAGCTGTGGATGCTCCTTCTCTGGAAGTGTTTGAGACCTGGCTGGATGGGGCTTTGAGTATCCTGGTCTAGTGGTATGTGTCCCTGCCTGTGGCAGGGAGGTAGGAACTGGATGATCTTCAAGGTCCCTTCCAACTCTAACCATTCTGTGATTCTATGAAATGACCCATTACATCATCTCTTTCAGCACCCACTAGCAGTGGGCTCTCCCCAGCATACATCTGAATGGCTTGTCCAATCCACTCTTAAATGACTCTAAAGCTACAGCCGTTATGCCTTAGATACTTGAAATATTGGTGCACTGTACTGTGACAGTAGTATCAGTGCTTTTTTTTTTTTTTTTTTTCCATTAATAGAAAGCTAATAATAAATCCAGACCCTGAAGTAGCCAAATTGCATGAAAATCAGTCTGTGTTTTGTCAACGATGGCACTGGTGCTAACCACTATTTCTGTTTTGCACTGCAGGCTACAGTAGTTATAGCAACAGTATTAATGAACCTATAAATGCTTCTGGGCCATTTTGTATACTGCAAGATGACGATATAGAAAAATGAATAAGTTATTTTAAGCCAGAAAAAGCAGACCCAGAATATCATAATGAAGACATGACTAGAGACCTAGAAAGCTCTAAAGAAATTTGGGATGAGAACCAAATGTCCTGATTCCCAGACATTTCTCTAATCACTGAAACATACCACAAATCTTTTGGGAAGGAGACTAGTGATTTTCAAGCCTTCAAAACAAGATCATTTCTGCAAAGTGAGAGCAGTATTATTTGTAGAAAAGAATAAATACATTTTTCAGGAGCCTTCATAGTTAGATAAATAGAATATGTATTTCCAAAACAGTCTTTATGTGACAAAAAAGCAAAATTGAATAGATCGTAAAGTGCAGAAAGTTCCTTGAGATGATATTGTGATCTCTTTGGGCGTGTTCTTCAGTTGAACAGTGTCTATACTGGCTTCTGCTACTGTTTGATAAGGTCCTATCACAGCTGATGATCGAGTCATGCTTGACCTGTGTAGAACCAACAGCTGCCCTCTGTGAAAAAAATAGTGACTGATATCATTAGCAATAACGACATACACTGAAAATGTCATATTTCATTTTTAAAGGTAAGCAATGAAAGGTTCAGACTGAACAGAAGCGATCGAGTGGTTCAGCTCAGCATAAAGAACGAGCGCACAATGTGAAGGTATCCTTTGTCAGTAATCCCACCACATCTCTTTTCTTGTTGCTTGCCAGGTAAGTGTAAACTCTGCCATCTCCATGTCCATGCTCATGTTCTAGCACTGCCCAGGCTCCTCCACAACCGAGCTCCACCATTGTTCTTATTCAAATCCACTTTTACTGGTACGGCTTTTGTAGGGTTATATTTGTTTTAGTTTCTGCTGAAGGGAAGTGATAGTCATCTTTGTGGGAAGAAGAGAAAAAGTAACGCAGTCTCTTTACTGTTTCGTGAAAAATAAGCATGGAAATAAACTTCACTGAAGAGCATGGGCTGAAAAGATGTATTTCCATATTTCTCTTTCCTGTAAAGGGATTTGCAGAGTTGAAAATTAAAATTACATGTTTTGAATTAATTTGGCTTTAATAAATAATTCTGCTGCTTTTCAGTAACTTCTTAACAATTTATCACCTCTTAATATTTATGTTGTTTATTCCCTATTGGAAACCATAATTAGACCTACAGTGTGATAATCATATGATCCGATATATGGTTGTTTTGTTTATCTTCAGATAAAAAACGGTATTTGCTCCATGAAGCAATACCAAAAGGAAAATAGTTTTATTGTAAATCTCAAGCAGAGGGGCTTTCAGTCTGCTAATTCAGTGAATTTCTTTAGTGGTGCACTTGAAAGATTTATCCTGGTGGAGGAACTTGACACATGCGATACTTCAGAGTTAGTGGAAGAGAAGCATTATAACGTCAACACATACTTCATATAAACCCCCTTTTGTTGCTGCTGTTTAAAAGGAAGGAGAAAAAAATGGTGTTGCTTCAGATATGGATCACTGACAACAGGAACGTAACGTTTTGTATTTGGGGTCTGTAGG